ACTCGCTCTGAGTTAGTACGCTCAGTGGGGTTGCTTGGGAAGGTTCCCTCTGGTCACTGAATTTTTTCATAAAAGCATTTTTGTTCTAACCCTTGTGTGTGTGCATGTGTGTGTGCGCGCGATGGCTGGTTTAAGAGAACAGTTTGTGGCTGTGAAATTTTGTTTCCTGCTTGGGAAAAATACAGCAGAAACTGTTGTGATGTTGAACATAGCTTCCAAAGACAGCACGATGGGAAAAACTCAAATGTCTGAGTGGTTTTCTTGTTTCAAAAAAGGCGAAATGTCAATTGATGACAAATCTCATTCTGGAAATCAGTCAACTTCCTGAATGGATGCAAATGTAGAGTTCGTTCCACCAGGTCAGACTGTTAATCAAAAACTATTTTTCTGAAAAGATAGTTAACAGTGTGCAACAAAAAAGGCCTGATTTGTGGCAGACCAGGGGACTGGTTTTGCCACCAGGACAATGCGCTGGCTCATGCAGCCATCTCAGTGCAACAGTTTGGGGCATGCCTCTCTTGCCCCATGCACCTGACTCACCTGATCTTGCTCTGTGCAACTTCTCGTTTGTGTGAATGAAGCGGTACGTGAAAGGACAGCGATAGAAGAGGTGAAGAAAAAAAGGAAGGAGGTGATGTCACCTATCCAATGAGTTTGAAATATGTTCCCAAGAATGGAACCACAGTTCTGACAAATGTATTAAGTGCCATGGAGAGTACTTTGAAAATAAGATTGTTTTGTAAAAAATTTTAAATACATAACTTTGGGGGAAAACAATTCATTTTGAGGGGGTGTACCCCCTCGTATGTAGCAAGAAGTCTTGGTGGTGCTACAGGTGTAAGGTTGGAGGTTTGAGTCCAGGCAGATGCACCTCAGCAGAAAGGCATGGTGATCCACTACTCAAAAATTAGCGACTACAAACTTCCCAGCTAGCAGTGAGTCAGAATTCTCTAGTTCAGTGGTTCTCAACCTTCCTAATGCCGAGACCCTTTAACACAGTTCCTCATGTTGTGGTGACCCCCCCAACCATAAAATTATTTTCGTTGCTACTTCATAACTGTAATTTTGCTACTGTTATAAATATCTGATATGCAGGATGTATTTTCATTGTTACAAATTGAACATAATTAAACATAATGAAAGCATAGTGATTAACCATGAAACAATGTGTAATTATATATTGTGAAATATTTGTGTTTTCCGATGTTCTTAGGTGACACATGTGAAAGGGTCTTTCGACCCCCAAAGGGGTCGCGACCCACAGGTTGAGAACCGCTGTTCTAGTTGGAGCCTGGCTTACATTAGTCAGTCTGGGATATCGATGCTCTCTGTTCCCATATACCACCTACCCTTAGAAAGAGCCTGTCATATGTGCCCCAGCCAGACGGCACACCCAGCTGTGAGGGATCAAAGAACAAGCAGGTGAGGCCTAAACCCACTCTGACGGACAGGCATTTCCCATAAACATGGACGTACACCGGGCCGTTGCTGGCCGGACTTGCCTCAGTGGCACTCAGGAGAAGCCGTGCTCTGATAGATGAAGGGGCCGTGGGTTAGGGTTAGGGATACTGGTTCTGAGCACACACTTGGAGAACCATTTTCCAAGAAGGCTGCTCACGCCTCACAGAACAGTAAGTTGTTGAGGAGACCGGGCGTCTGTTTAATGTAATGATGAAACTTGCAGCCAAGCCTTTCCATTCCAGGTGACTGTGTGTGTACTTCCCGTGTGCTGTGGGACTGTGACCACGTGGTTAGAAGAGCTCCTTCTCTGGTGGGTGTGGAGGAAGGCTTCAGACCAAATGCCTGGTCAGTGCAGTCTTCTCTCCAGCAAACAGTTCAGTCCTCCCATGGCCCAGCTGGCAGCGCGTGTGTTGGGCAACCTGCTTCAGGTCCAGTGACAGTCACTTCCTTGACAGTCCAACTGTACTGACGTGTTTTCTGGCCCATCTGTGGCCTCTCTGCCTCCCATCAGCAGCCCCATCAACTAGGGAGCCCAGAGCCTGAGGGGAGCAGCTGGGGTGAATGGGATTATAAAGAGACTTTTCCCCAGTTTTGTCTCCCCCAAGGACATGCCAAACATTAGGGGCTTTTTGCTAGCATATGGGGGGGGGGGTGTCAGGTGCTTGCAGACATCCTCCCTGAAGACAGTCAGTCGCCAGACTGTGGTAGGCCCCGCTCCCTGCTGTTAAGGACAATGGGTTACTTCTCCCTAAAGACTTGCTTTGATCAGTTATCAATTTGGTTCCTGTAGGTGGAGTTCACACCTTACCGATAATGGTCTCTATCAGTTGAGCCAGGGAACAGGTCAAACCAGCTCAGTGACATCAAAGTTAGGCTGCCATCCTGAATCTAGGATCTGCCCATCTTGCTACATGTATATCCCCAAGATCACCCCCTTCCCATTACTGTATTACCTATAGCACAACCCTTTCCTGTGACATATGTCTTCACCTGTAATTAGGGGGCTTGCATGTCCCCAGAGAATATAAAAGCCTTGGCTAGCATTAAATATCTTTCCACGTGGACTACCACGTAAGGCTGAGGTGAGCATTGCTACCATGAATTGTGTTTGACTCCATTATTTCAATCTCTCTTCTATCTCTCATGCTCTCTATTTTACTATAATCTTTACTTATTATCGCTGTACAGTTGCGTCTACTGGACCTGTGATGATGTGTTAGGGCAAGTACCCTGACAGGGGTGCATTCCTTGCTGCAGGGGCTCTGAGGCGTCCCACTCAGCTCGTCTCTCTCCTACGTGCCACCTTTCATGCCACCTGCTTCACAGTTGTTGAGCCACAGGTAGCAAAGGCAGCCCTGTCAGGGATAAGTAGATTCTGAGCAGATTATTCATAATTTCAGGGCTCTGGCTTAGTGAGTAATTACTTAAAGACCATTGCAAATCTTTCTCAGTGTTTATAATAGGCCTTTAATGTGACTCTTACAGGTTCCCTGGCCTTTTTAAAACTCAGCTCTAATTTGGTTTTAATTCTGCCTGGATCTGAAGAGCAGACCCTCTCATCGGTTCTATTTTATTTTAAGCCATCGGGCAGAGAACGGGCTGAGATAGTCCCCCTTTTAAGCTACAGCTTAAAAAAAAAATAGAATTGAGATCTGTCATTTATCAAAAGTGAGAAAGAATGCAAGGCACAGTTTCAGCCCGACCCCTGGCGAGGTTTCTCTGTTGGCAGGTCTGTTCTGCAGGAGCTCACAGGCACGGAAACCGCTCAGCAGCAGGGAGCTGGGGCAGCCGTACTTCACTGGCATTTCCTTTATTTCTCAGCTGTGTGCTGTTGGTCTGACACCTCATATTTTTACTTTCTGTTTGTGAATTCCTCACAACCACAGGGCTGCCAGATAAAGATATCCCCGTCATGGATGTGGGTCCACATAGACTCTTGTGGAAGCAGAGAGAACGGCAGGTCACCTCTAGTGATTTCCCATGAGGGAACGATGTGACACCCAATGGATGCCATGGGCTGCGGGGGCCCTGCCCCCTCCCCCCCACCGAAGCCATTGCTCTGTGCCCTTAGATCCCACAGCGAGTCGGGCCTGCCGCAGTGATAGGCACCTCGGGCCTGGTGCTGATGTCAGGAGCCTGGTGGCGCAGTGGTTACTCATTGGACTGTGGTTCAGTTCAAATTCACTAGCTGCTCTGAGGGAGAAAGATGGGCCTTTCTACTCCCATAAAGAGCTACCGCCTCGGAAACCCACAGGGGCAGTTCCACCCTGTCCTGTAGGGTCACTGTGAGTTGGCATTGACTCACTGTCAGTGAGTATGTTGTAGACACATGGCAGTGTTTTTTCACCCCTCAGGGTTTACATGCCCTGGAAGAGAGCAGCAAACACGGGCATTCTTAAATGAGAAAACTCATCTCTGATGATGCCTCTACTGTGATAGCCCAAATATTCACACACACACCCTTTGTTGTTAAACAGTTGTATTGGCACTTCATCAATGTATCTTAAAATTCAATAATAGTTCCGTCATATCAAGAAGGAATAGTACAATCATTACCAGTCAATTTTAGAACATTTTCTTCTTCCTTGTGCCCATTGTTATTAGTGTACCTTTTTTTTAATTGTGGCAAAAATATACACAATAAAATATTCTCTAATTCAGCAACTTCTACATGTATGATTCAGTGCCATTGACTATATCCTTTGAACAATCATTATTGATTATCTTTTTCCAAATTATTCCAGCACCATTGACATAAACTCAATGCCCCCTTAGCAAAAACTATTCCTTCTTCACCCATGGTAACCCCTGGTCAAGTTTGGTTTCTTTTTTAGTAGTTTTCTTGATGTAAAATTAACATATATATATTTTAAAGAAATTTATTATATATTTTTTACAGATACACTTCATAGTTAAACTCTGAGGAGTTAAACTCAAAGCGTTTATATGTATCATCACAATCAGTTCTTTCCCTCCCCCCTCCAGCATTCCTTGTTTGCTCCCCAATAACCGACACAAAGGCTGGCTGTTCTAGCCCACCTAGGGGCTCCATGGGAGAGAGGCCTGGTGACCCGCTCCCAGGAAGATCATTGTTGGCGGCGGAGGAGCAGGGTCTGACGGCCTCTTAGTGACCGTGTCCAGCGGAGAGAGCTGTCCCTTAAGATTTCCGAGGCCGAAATCTTGACAGCCCAGGTCGTCAGGTCTTTTCCTGTGGAGCGCCTGACCATGTGGCCCGTGGCTCCTTCGTAAGAGGCACCTGGAAAATCCTTTGGGGCACCTCATCTGTTACAAGGGTCACCATGTGCCACAAATTGCCTCTAACAACAAAATGACAAAAATCATAAGTGGCATTGGAAAGCCCTTTAAATTCTCTCCTGTAAATCTCTCTTCTTTTTGCTCTGCAGTATGTAATACGATTCTGTTTGCATTCTTCAAACCTGCAAAACTGACATCACATACTGGTGGGGAGGCCTGGAGCATCTCTGACAGTGTGTATTCAGGTTCAGGGTGTGCATTCCTATGACCCAGCAAAGGCCGCCCTCAGGGCAATCCCCAGAAAGCTCAAGCGAGTGGGCCCCAGATGACACTTGTGCATAAGAGTGTTCTATCGATGTCCACACTGATACACCGTTGGAAGCATTCTGAATGGCAGCAGGCAGATATATGGTGAATACTGGACCATTTGCTCAACGAAATAAAGGCTGAAGGGAGCTAGGCATTTCAATAGAGTTGAGGCACATAAAATGTTAAGGGCAAATGATAAAGTACTTGAAACTTGATGTTTCTGTAGATTTTCAAACAATGTGAACTGACTTGTGTAGCATAGGGATACGAATGAGTATGCATAGACTAAACGTGTGAAGAGATGCGGGGGACTAAATACTAAACTCAAGATAGTGGTGCCTCTGGGGGGTGGGGGCTAGAGGGATGGAGACTGGGAGGAGCCCCGGGCTTCAGTGTCTGCTGTTGTATTTTGTAGACGGAGAGATGGACACAGAGGTATTAATTCGATTGATAGGAGGTGTTGGGCCTCATATGTTGTTGGGTGTTGCCAAGGCAACTCTAATCAGTGTGCTGATGTCATCTGTAGGAAAGGGGCAAAACATGGTATCGCCCAGGGACTCGGCTTGGTGGCCTGTGCTCTAAGGCAGCTTCTCCTCTTCTCCCCTCAGCCCCTGGCCTCCACCAGTCTGCTTTTGTCTCTGGATTTGCACGTTCTGGATATTACACATAAGTGTCATTTTTGTGTCTAGCTGCTTTTACGTGTGATGTTTCCGAGGGCTGTCCATGCTGTAGCACCTGTCTGTGCGCCATCCTTGTTATGGTGGTGTATATTCTCATATGCATATTCGCCAGCTCCTGAGCATAGGGGGCAGCCTACCATTGGCTGTTGTGAATAGCACTGCCACCAACGTGTGTATATTTGTGTGACCCTCGTTCTCATTCTTTTAAGTGTCTATTCAGGAATGGAACTGCGGGTCACAAGGTGATTTAGTTTTTGTTTTCCTCTTTGATAACAAACCCTAAGTTTTCAAGTTTGATTTTATGAAATGAGGTTTTATTTGGGGCTTTTGCAACATGTTTAGGGGTTTATGCTTCTGTGGTTTCCAGAGGCTGAGGGTGGCAGGGAAGGTGACTTGGACGGCATTGGGAAGCAAGGGCGTTTCTGCTGGCTCTAACAGGTGCATTTCTGTTCCCAGGACGATTACATGGAAGCCCTGGCCAGGCTCCACCTCACGGTGACCAGGGCCTACAAAGTGAACACCGACATCAACTTTGAGGTGTTTATTCATAAAGTGGATGGCCTGTCAGATGACCACAAAATTGAAACCCAAAGAGATATTCACCAGAGGGCAAACGATGACCTTGCGGATGCTGGATTAGAGAAAATTCACTTGAGGTGAGAGCAGGATCACAGACCCAGACAGGGACAAAGCCGGGCTGGGGCCCAGAGATGCCGTATGGGTTCAGCATGTGCAGGCCTTCACCTGCGTGCCGTTTTGTGCTGCTGCAGACATCAGGAAAGCATTTAGGATTCAGGAAAAGCAACTTTGAATGTATGCGTTGTAATCTCTGGTCAAAGCAATGTATTTGTTTCAGCCTAGGACCAAACTAGGGTTCTCCTGCCCAATAGGAAACACAGAACATACAACCCCTGAGCATAATCAGGAAGGTAGCACCTAGATGTTGAAGTTGGCCCACTCAAGAGCTCACTGCCATCAAGAACATTTGGACGCGGTGACCCTATGGGACAGAGAGGAGCCGTTCCTCAGGGTCTGAGACTTTCCATTTCTGTGGGGAGCAGACAGCCTCCTCTTCCTCCCAAGTAACAGCTGGTGTGGAGCAGCTGTTTTCTGTAGTTAGCACTGCCACACATACCCCACGCTGCCACCAGGGCTCCTGGTGTAAACTCAACCGTTCTTGAAAAATAGGAGATTGTAGTTCGGTGTCTCCCACTCCCCCGAACCCTGTGTACCACGAACTGGAACTGCGCCCCACCTGCGCCCTCTTCACGAGTGATGCTAGAGCCCGTGGTGGACAGCCACAGGGTCACTGCACCTGGCTGCCGGCCTTCCTCTTGTTTGCTGACCCACCTTTCCCGGAGACTGGTCCCTCTTCTATGTCTGAAGTATAGGAGATGAAGTCTTGCCATCAGACTGCTTCTGAGGAGCCATCCTGGCTGTACTTCTAAGACAGCATTGTCTGTTCCTCTGGCAGTCCACACATTACTTTCCATATTCTCTGTAAACACTGTAATTCAAATGCATCAGTTCTTCTGAGGTGGGTTAGGCCAGGTTGACTGGGAAACAAATTCAGTGATGATCACATATGTGTAAGAAAGAGCTTTTTATCAACGAGTATTTGTATATCAGGCAAACAATCCAACCCAGTCCAGATCAAGTCTATAAGTCTGATACATGTCCCTAAGTCCCTCTTCAGACTCACATGAGCACCTGCAAGAAGATCGCAGGCCAGTGGGTGCAAAGTCTTGTGGATCCAATGGCGGTGGCCACATCACAGGGCTCTGGCAGCCACCAGGGTCTACCAGCAGGAAGGTGAAGGCAGGGAGAGGTGGGAGGTTCCCAGAACCCTCCTCATGAAAAGGCCTCGCCCATAAGGAGGCACTGTCAGGCTGTGGCCTCATTGACAGGCTAGACTCCACCCCTACACTTGTAGATCTTTTTAAGTTGACCTGAAATTATATAACTACCACATGAGGTCTTCCTTATGTGTGTTTCAGCTTTGGAATGCATATGATATCACTGAGCATACCACACCTTTAGTCCTCAAAGTGACATCCTTGCTCCTCATTTCCTTCAAGATGTCTTGTGCAGTATCTATAATTAAAAATAGTCACTAACTGAGAGGTTGGCAGTTTGAACCCACCCAGAGGTGCTTAGTTCTACCCAGTAACCTCCGGGGTGGGTCTCCATGCATTGGAATCGACTTGATGGTGTGACAGATAGTACATAGAGGAGTGTCTGAAAATATTCCAAATGGAAATAAGTAGCCACAGAAGACACCTAGCATACTAGCATTTTTGGTTTTAGTATGATGATGCATCATTCAGTTTTCAAGCTGGGAAATGAAGATCAGACAGTTTAATATCACTATTTTGACAGCTACCACTGGATCAACCTGCTGTTGTTTGTGGCAGTAGACTGCAGTGACCCCATATGACAAGTAGAAGTGCCACATGGAGTGTTCTAGGCCATCATATTAATAGAAGCCAATTGGTCGGCCTTTCTTCTCCCTCAGGTTTGAATTGCCAGACTTTTGATTAACCGCCAAGGCTTACCCACTGCATGACTTTGGACAGCCCAATAGGACTGTGGAAAGAGGGTTCTCCCGCGAGCTGAAGGAAGGTGGTATGGGCACATGCAGCTGTGTGCTTAAGCTTTGCAATCCAGCCAGTCCACAAGCAAGAGTAGACATTGTTCTTGCTTTTGGAGAGCAGGGGGAAGATACCTTGTTTTAGGAAAAACTCACGGTTTCACAGAGGTCCTTTTTAATTCTAAGGCGCTGGAGGGTGGGTAAGGAGCCCTGCTGACACTGTCATATGGACACTTGGCTGACACATCCAAGACCCGGGGTTCTGCTGGAGAAGACGAGGCTGTCTGATCCTGTCGACTACAGAAACCCTAGAGAGCAGTGTGCCCTGTCCTGGAGGGTCCTGGGACTTGGACTTGACCATTTGGTGGCGTGAGGCTGACACTAATGTGTGTGCTAGAACTGCAGATCTGGAAGGCAGGCGGCTGGTGTGAGGACATAGCCCAAGCAGTTTATTCCTCAGCCGAAGGAACATGTGCTGAAATATTGTTTCCTCTTTACAGCTTTTATCTGACAAGCATCTATGATCATTCAATCTTTGAAGCTTTTAGCAAAGTGGTTCAGAAACTGATTCCACAACTCCCAACCCTGGAGAATTTGCTAAACATCTTCATCTCAGTAAGTAAACAGTACTTTACGCACCTCTCCTTTGAAGCAGTTAAGTTGTCTACCTCCCTGACGCTGCAAGCCTAATACAGGTCTGCTGGTTTCCGCTTACTCTTCCTGCCATTTGCGGTCATTCAAGCATTACTCTTGGGGATTCATCTGGCTTTTTGTTTTTAATTTGCAAACATTTTGGGAGACATTTACGTTCTCCCCATCCTTCCCTTTTCTCCTTATAGAGTGTATTGTATCTCACCCTCACCCCCGCCCCATCTCACCACCCTTCCCCATGACCTTTCCCACCTGCCAACCCACCTGACCTGCACTAGTGCAGTGAAAATGGAGATGCTCATAGATAGTGTTGTAGATTCTTTAAACATTTCACTCTGGCTCATGAGGGAGAGGGGAGCAGGGAGGGAGGGGGAAAATGAGGACCTAATGCCAGGGGCTTAAGTGGAGAGGAAATGTTTTAAGAATGATGAGGGCAATGAATGTACAAATGTGCTATTTACACAATTGATGTATGTATGGACTGTGATAAGAGTTGTATGAGCCCCTAATAAAATAATTAAAAAACAAACAAACAGACAAAAAAAACCCATTTCACTCTGAAGCTGTAGTTCACTGGTAGACTTGGAGTGTTTATTCAAGTTGTGGACTTTCAATATTGACAGGACCTTAAGAGAGGTGGGGGGATATAAACGTTGTTATGGTCAATAGGGCTTATGTTGTTGAATATATTTTTATGTGTTTAGTGACACTGCCGGTCTGCTGGTGAGCAGAAGACCTACCTCTTTGTGGGACTCACATTGGCTCGGTCTCAACACACAACTTCGGGATTTGTCTTTCTGGATTTTAAAAATTGTTTTCTTATTTTCAATTGGTAAAATTCACGTTTTGGGGGTATATAGAGTACTATGTTGGTGAGTGTTGTAAACACTGCCCAGTTTGCCTGCTTAAATTAAGTAATTTATGATAAACCAATTCCTTTGGGACAACTCACTTTTCATTTCTCAGGAAGTTTTTGAATATGAAGTTTAAGTTGTAACAAAATGCCACAACTTAGAATTTTCAGCAACATGGTTTTTGCTCATTCGGAGTTTACATTGAAGATGGTGTGTAATTTTATATAACTAGGATCTAGTCTGAAATCAACTGTCACTGTAAGGCAGCATCTTTGTGTTTCAGAATTCTGGGATTGAAAAGGCTTTTCTCTTTGACGTGGTCAGTAAAATCTATATTGCGACTGACAGCACCCCCGTGGACATGCAGACCTATGAGCTCTGCTGTGACATGATCGACGTGGTGGTGGACATCTCTTGTATTTATGGGTAAGTGAACGCTCTTCAAGGTCACAGTCAACTCCTACTTCCCTTTCATAACCTTTAAGACGTTTGCACTTACTGACTTGATGTAGTACTTTGGTTTTAGATGACCAAGACCTATAAATAGCAGTACTGCCTTGTGGACAATTAACTAGTTATCCAGCAAACACTTGGCATTATGTTGTTCTGCTTTCAACTAGCGCATGAAGCAAGAATTACTGGTTTCCTCTTACAGGTAGAGAAACCGAGACGCAGAGTAGTGAAGCTTCTAACTCCTGCTTATACTGCCAATAAGGGTGGAACCAGAATTTGAACTCAGTTCTCGCTGATTTCTGGCTCTTCAGTTGAAAAACCTGTCAGCATATGTGCTAGGTGGGGTTGTTCAGAGAAACACAATCGGCGGCGCTCATCTGTGTATAAGAAAGAGCTTTTAGATCAAGAAGCCATCTCAGCCCAGTCCAAGTTAATCCACGGGTCCCATGTTAGCCCTCTTCAGGCGCATGCAGCTGCAGGCCAAGGGCACAGCGATGGAGCGGGAGGCAGGGAGAGCACAGGCAGTAGGCGCAAAGCCCGTGGATCCCAGTTGATAGAAACATGGCAGTGCACTGAAAGCGCTCCGGTTTGTCGGTTCACATGGGGCTGCCCCTGAAGCGGGGGGACACAGAGTCCTGGCAAGGAGGCAAGTGTTAAGTCCAGAGAGAGAATGTTCTCCCTGCTTATTTTATTAAGAGGCCATAGCTCCCAAGGAGGCATCATCGGGCTTCCACCTGACTGACAGGGTGGACATGTTCAAGTTAACCTAAAATTTAACTGCCACAGCACCTAATGCTATACGTTGTGGTGATACTGATAGGATCCGTATGGTGGTTGTAGAGTGTACTGAATATGTCACAGACTGTCAGAATGAACAAATCTATATTGGAAGAAGTACTGGGAACACTCCTTAGAAGCAAGGATTGTGGGGAGACTTGGTTTCACATGGGAGAAGGCTTCAGAATTTCATTGAAAAATACCATTACAGAAAGGATCACTGAAGACAAATGGGTGCATAAGCAAATGTGGTGAAGAAAGCTGATGGTGCCCGGCTATCAAAAAGTATAGCATCTGGGGTCTTAAAGGCTTGAAGGTAATCAAGTGGCCATCAAGCTCAGAAGCAACAAAGCCCACATGGAAGAAGCACACCAGCCTATGCAATCACGAAGTGTCGAAGGGTTCAGGTATAAGGCATCATCAGAACAAAAAAATCTTACCATAGTGAATGATGGGAGAGTGAGTAGTGGAGACCCAAAGCCCATGAGTAGACCACTGGAGATCCCCTTGCAGAGGGGTCTCAGGGAGGAGACGAGCCAGTCAGGTAGTGATGTAGCAACGACGAGAAATACAACTTTCCTCTAGTTCCTAAATGTTTCCTCCCCGCTCCCACTATCATGATACGAATTCTACCTTGCAAGTCTGGCTAGACCAGAGGATGTACACTGGTACAGATAGGAACTGGAAATACAGGGAATCCAGGGCGGATGATCCCTGCGGGACCAGTGGTGTGAGTGGTGATACTGGGAGGGTAGAGAGTGAGTGGGTAGCAAAGAGGGAACTGATTACAAGGAACTATATGTGACCTCCTCCCTGGGGGACAGACAACCGAAAAGTGGGTGAAGGGAGACGTCGGACAGGGCAAGATATGACAAAATAACAATTTATAAATTATCAAGGGTTCATGAGGGAGTGGGGAGCGGGGAGGGAGGGGAAAAATGAGGACCTAATGCCGGGGGCTTAAGTGGAGAGGAAATGTTTTGAGAATGATGAGGGCAATGAATGTACAAATGCGCTTTACACAATTGTTGTATGTATGGATTGTGATAAGAGTTGTAAGAGCCCCTAATAAAATGATTTAAAAAAGAAAAAGAAAAATACCATTACTTTGAAAACAACAACAATTTCTTGTTGCAAATTATGTCTGGGGTTACATTTCAGATCATCAACTTTGTATTCAACAGTTTAAACCACCAGCCCCCTAACAGTATGCTCTTCCCCCACTCCTGGATTTCTCTTCCCCCTGTTGCGGACTTCTGTCTCCCATTTCACCCAGTTAACACCCATCAACAGTCTAGCCTGCTGCTTACCTTCCTCCTGTGTCCCCCCCACTTTGAAGTCTCCAAAGTCTGTTCCCTTTGGTGTAAAAGTCTCTTGCCACCCCCTAAAAACCAACACCAACACAGTGGTCTCTTTTCATAGCTGTCCTTTGGCGATTGACTAATTCACTCAGCACAATGTTCTCCATGCCCATGCGTGCCATCAAGTGTTCTCAGTGAAGCAGAGAACACCACAGTGTCTTTATCCGTTCTTCCACTGGGGGGCAGTTAGGTTGACTCTTGTCTTGCTACTGTGAACAGTGCTGCGAGGAACCCAGGAGCACGTTCTTGTTACGTTTCTTCTTTAGACATATGCCCAGCAGAGAGACTGCTGGATCATACGGAATTTGTATTCCCCATTATTGGAGGTCGAGCCACATCCTTTTCCACAGCGGTTGTACATACTTCCAGTCCCACCAGCAGTGTATGAGGCTTCCAGTCTGCAGGACCGTCAGCATTTGTTATTTTCTGTTTGTTTTGTTTTTAACCTTGCTTGTCATTGTTAGGGGAAGGTGGTGTCTCATCGTTGATTTTTGATTTGCATCTCCTGAATGGCTAGTGACTGTGAGCATTTCCTATGTTGGCCATATGGATGCCATTTTGATGAACTGTCAGTTCTTATCCTTTGCCCATTGAAAAAATTGGTTTATTTGCCTTTTTGTTATTGAGAGATTGCAGTTTCTTTTCTTTGTGTGCAGCTTTCTATAGATTTTAGAGGTTAGGCTCATGTCCATTCTGTCTTTGCTAAAGATCTTTTCCTCACGCTGTGGGTTCTCTTTTTACTCTTTTGATAAAGGTCTTTCATGCACCTGTGTCTTGTTTTCAGTTTAGGCCCCAGTCATCTACTTTGTCATCTGTGGGTGTTTTGTTATATTTGATAGTGTGTTTGTGCCCAGCACTAGGGCCCGTAAGTGTGTCTCTGTTTTCTTATTGATGATCTTGGTAGTTTTGGATTCCACATTTAGGTCTTTGATCCATTTTGACTCTGGTTTTGCACACGAGGTGAGATGTGGGTCCTGTTTCATTCTTCTACAGGTGAGCTCCAATTGTAGCAGTGCCATGTGTGGAAGACACCGTGCTATCCCGTCTCATGTTCTTTGTTGAAGGTCAGTTGTGTGTAGGTGGATGAATTTATTTCTGGGTTCCCGATTCTGTTCTGTTGGCCTATGGGCGTATCCTTGTGCCAGGACCAGCCTGTATTAACTATTGTAGTGGTGGTGTGGGTTTTGAGGTTGGGAATGGTGAGGCCTCCCCCTTTGTCTGTCCTCTTCAGAAGTTCTTTGCTTACCCTGGGTCTCTTTCCTCTCCACATGAAGTTGGTCCTTAGTGCTTTCATTCCTTTCAAGAATGAAATTGGGGTCTGGAATGCAGTCACGCTGCCATTCAATTCCATTTTCCCAAGAACGTTTTGAAGTCACCTTACACGGTGGACTCGCAATATCAGGAGGGACGGGTCCTTGGAGAAGGACCTCCTGCTTGGTAAAGTAGAAGGCGGGTAATGATGGAGTGGCTGCAGCAGTGGCTTCCAACATGGCGGTGATTGAGGGTGGTACAGGTCCAGGCAGGGTTTCCTCTGTTGTTGTAAGGATGGCAGGGGCCCCTGTCGGGCCTCCTTTAACTTCACCAGCAGGCAGTAGAATCAAAACCAGTAGCATCAACCACCGCTGGCCAGTTCCTGTGAGACAAAGCTCAGACATGCCTCCTGCCCCCACCCTTCCTTACCAGTTCCCACACCGACCATCCCTCCTAAGATGTGGTCTCCTGGGTTTAATGAGCCTTTGCAAGGGCCACACAGGAATCAGATAACCCTCATGATTATGGGGCTCATTAGGGAAGTTAACAGGTGGAAATTCAGGATCAGGAGTATTCAAGGAATACAGTACATGGGTCCAAAGCACCACTTCTCAGCTATGCCTGCAAGCATATCCAAGCCCTTGGCCTTGTGGCCTGCTTGGACAAGGGCTCTAAAGTTCGTTTAGCTATCAGTTGCTCTGCTCCATGGCCCTACATTCTCTGCCTTGCTAGGGTAGGTGTAACTCTACCCATTTAGCACCCTCACCACCTGGAATGTACAGCTCAAAGGTGCTCAGCACTTAGTTCCCACCCTCCATTAAGTGCCTGGGGCAATCCTCTCTCTGCCAGCCAGCCTCCTACCCAGAGATGCTCAGCTTCCTCTGCCTGCACTGGAAACCCCACGACTCCTTGTGCTCTAGGTCCTGCCGTCTTCCTCCACGGCCACTGCTTCTCGGCACTGCTGCCGTCGCAGCTGACGAGTGTTAGAGTTCTTTATCTCTTAGACCAGGATGTCTCAGCGCAGGAATCTCAGGGTCACACTCTGTGCCTGACTTGTCTTCTTTTTGCTGCCATCAGATTGGTTCTGACATCATATAGACCCAGAAAACCACTGTCTGGTCCTCTGCCATCCTCACAACTGTTCTTCAGTGTGAGCTCATGGCCATGTGTCCGTTCATCCTGTCAAGGGTCTGCCTCTTTCTTGCCTCCCTTCCACTTTACCAAGCTTGCTGCCCTTCTCCAGGGACTGGGATGGCCTGACAACATGTCCGATGTAGGTGAGACCATCTCGCCTGTCTTCATTCGGTTGATGATAGATTCAATAAATGATCGATTCAAATAAAAGGAAATCCTTGACAACCTCGATCTTTCCTCAGCATCGTCAGGATGCTGTCTGTTGGTCCAGTTGTGAGGATTTGGGGGGTTATTTTTTTCACATTGAGTTTCAATCCAGACTAAAGATTACATCTTTGATTTTCATCAACAAATGCTCCAAGTCCTCCTCACTTTCAGTAAATTAGTTGAGCCCTCCGCATATTGCAGGCTGTTAAACAAGCTTGATGCTTTGTTCTACAGATACTCCAGCTTCGCGGATTATTTGAATAAGGATGGAGGAAGGGTACAACCCTGAGGCACACCTTTCCCAATTTTAAGCCATGCAGTATTCCTTTGTTCAGTTTACACGACGGCTGCTTGGTCCATACACAGGGTGTGCATAGGGACAATGAAGTGTTCTGGGATTCTTATTCTAGAAGAAACTTTAGCTAATGATAATCGTATAAAAGATTATGTCATTAATTAACTCAAAAACAGCTATTGATCACCTACTACATTTATCTTATGAGGACCCTGAGATTAAAGTCAGAAAAGGTGTTGTTCATGTTAGTCATATTCCAGTAGTAGAAACAGAGAACGAGTTAAATCAAATATTGTATCAGGTAACAATAAACATTTCCCAGAAAAATAAAACAGGAGGTTTCTGTGTTGTTAGGTGTCATTGAGTTGACTCCTATTGACCCCACAAACACTAGCCAGTCCTTCAATATTGGCACCCTGTTTGTTAATGCATGAGCCCATTGTTGCAGCCACCACTGAAATCCACCTCCGCGAGGGTCTTCATTTTCATCACCTGTTTTGCTTTTCCAAGCATTGATCTCTCCTCATCACTTGTTCAAAGAAACGAAGACAACTTCTCCACATTCTTGGTTCTTAGGAGCATTCTGGCTATATTTTTTCCAAGGTAGAGTTCTTGGTTCTTTGGGTAGTCCCTGGTGCTGCTAATATTCTGGACCAGCTCTTCTTGTGGACAGTGCGATTGCCGCCTTCTGCTTCTGAGATGGCACATCTTGAACCGAGCAGATGACAAAACTGACCATTGCCACGTTAGCGTTCCATATGCTTTATTTGCCTGGTCCACCCCAAGGGTGCCATGTACCTTATTTGTATTCTTGGCAAGATGCCCAGTTCCTTCACGTTACACAGTCCTACCCAGTAGCTATGCCCAGTTCCTTCACGTTACACAGTCCTACCCGGCTATGCGTGAGACTGCCGACCACAGGTCTGCAGTTCAGAGGCACCAGTCACTCCACAGGAGAAAGAGACCGGCTGCTCCCGTACAGTCTTGTAGCCTCAGAAACCCAAAG